ATTAGCATAATAGGCCACACCCAACAGCAAAACTCATTAGCATATTAGGCCACACCCCTGACAGCACCGCTCATTGGCACATTAGGCCACACACCACATGTTACCAGAAGTGTGGTTATCCAGCACACCCACCTTTTGCTTCTTATTCTGTTGACCTTGTTTGTTGTCAAAATCCAGGGCTTTTTTTGTAGCAGGAACTCCTTTGCATGTTAGGCCACACACCCCTAATGTAGCCAATCCTAATGAGTTTCTGCTGTTGGGTGTGGCCTATTATGCTAATGAGTTCCTGCTGGGCGTGGCCAACTTGGGAGCCAGCCGGAACTCCGTTCCTGTGCGTTCCTGCCCAAAAATAGCCCTGGTTTTTAGCATTGTCAAGAAAAGCAAACCAGAGCTCCCCACGTGCACAGCGAGCCCAGCTGGGTTGACCTCTCCTGCCACTCTGTTTAAACTGGGAGGAGACAGCACAGAGCTGCCTGTGCAGGGAGCCATGGGTGATAGGAGAGGTTTAAACCAGGCGGCAGGAGCACTCAGCCCAGCCAGGCTCACTGTGTATGCGGGGAGCTCTGGTTTGCTTTCCTTGACAGTGCTTTTTACGCTTGCTTCTGCATGGAGCTTGGTGTAATACATGTCTTGTCGCAGAGGAAGGGGTAAACACAAAGGCTGTAAAGTCTTTTTTTTTTTACAAGCGGCATAAGACCAGCAACGGTTTCATATCACTAGAAATGCAGGTTGAAAAAATTTAACATGAGGGTGGGGGAGTGGTCTATGAGTGGCGGGGACAGGGCGGGGTAGAAATCCAAGGGAATTTGTATGCTTTTGACTTACCTTCAGCTTGGAAGCAAAGCAAGGGGGAAAAATGGCACAAAAGCACTCTCAGAAAACCTGGGGGAACAGCGAACAAGAAGTGAACTGAGCGTCGAAGGGAGGGAAAACAATGCAGAACGAAAAAGAAAACCCAACGGACATGCACAGTGAAAGCGAGGCAAAACACCTGTGCCTAAAAGGCCGATGTTAGTTTTGTGGTGGTTAATTAAATCCAGGGCTATTTTTGGGCAGGAACGCACAGGAACAGAGTTCCGTCTGGCTCCCAAGTTGGCCATGTCCAACAGGAGCTCATTAGCATAACAGGCCACACCCAACAGCAGAAACCCATTAGGATTGGCTACATTAGGGATGTGTGGCCTAACATGCAAAGGAGTTCCTGCTACAAAAAAAGCCCTGGGTTTTGACAACAAACAAGGTAAACAGAATAACAAGCAAAAGGTGGGTGTGGCTGGATGACCACACTTCTGGTAACATGGGGGGTGCGGCTTAATATGCTAATGAGTGGTGCAGTCAGGGGTGTGACCTAATATGCTAATGAGTTTCTGCTGCTGGGTGTGGCCTATTATGCTAATGAGTTCCTGCTGGGCTTTTTCTACAAAAAAAGCCCTGATTAAATCAGTGCTATATTATTCAGTTGGTTTTCAGTGGTGTCTGTTTACCAACCTGCAGCATGAGGGTAACTCTTTTATTTTGAAAAAAAGTCTCCCATGAGTAGAAGAGGCATCTGTTTGATCTGCGTCTTCCCCTCTTTTCATCTTTGCCAGAACGGTGGATTGCAGGCTATTGCTCTGCACTTCAGAATATCCCAGGGATGTGCAGATATGTAAACACTTAAGACAGTAAACACAAGACTCTGCGCTGAGTACTAGATAAACTTCAACTACAAATCTCTTGTAAGCTCGAAATTATATATTTACAAAAGGTGAAGTGTAGTTTGCCACAACCACAAAGAGAAAGGAATATTTAAAATGGGTGTGATGTGTACTTTTTCCTCCACTGTGTTCTTTGCATTAAGCACGTACAAAAGCACAAATTGTTCATCACTTTCTGCAGGACTTTGGGGTGGAACTGTATGTTACATGTAGTTCTGTGATTCATCTTTGGGGACTGTAATCTGCTTCTTTGCATGCTGAGGCTGCAGTTTGAAAAGATGTTAGTACTCCTATCTTTTCCTTTACGGTGATGACAGTACATATGTAGCTGCCTTATACTGAGTCAGACAATTGTTCTGTTAAGTTCAGTATTGTCTACTCTGACTGGCAGTGGCTCTCCGGGGTCTCACAGAGAGGTCCTTTGCATCAATGGTTCCCCAGTCCCTTTATGTGGAGATGCCGGCGACTGCAGCTGGGAACCTCTACAAGCAAAGCAGATTCTCTACCACTGAGCCATGGCTCCTCCCCAAAGTAACTTGGGCAGAGCAACTTCCAGTGGGAAAATGCTGCAAGGAGAATGAGTTAAGAAGGCCCCTTCCCCCGTGCTATTCCCCCCCCCCATCAAATTGCAGCATCAGCAGCTGCATTGTGTAAAAAGGAAAACTGTCTGAAAAAGGAATCCTAGAACTATAAACCAAGGTTTTCCAAGGCCTTCGACCTCCAGAAGCCTTTTGTGATCCGCCTTCTGTCTGCTTTTGTGCAACCCTGTATTTATTCTGCAATAGGGTTGCCAAATCGTTTTTACCTCGCGGCGGGGGGTTCCCGTTCGGCGTCCTCAGCGCGCGCGCGCCGCATGCATGTCAGCCGGATGTGACGTGATGACGCCGGGCACGCTGGGGGCGGGACCACAGCCATTTGAGTGGAAAACTCTATGTTTTCCCCTCAAATGGCTGTGGCCCCGCCCCCAGCATGCCTGGCATCATCATGTCACATCTGGCTGACGTGCACGCCGGGGTGGGGTTTCCCCCGGGGCCCGATTCCACGGTGGCGGAAATCGGGCCTCCAAAGCGGGGGGAAATCCGCCCCCCGGGGGGATTTGGCAGCCCTATTCTGCAATCTGTCACCAGCATTCCACCCTCCATCCCCCAAGTGTACAATTATCACAAGTGCCTACCTTAGAACCATTCATGGTAGGAATTCTGTGTCCTTAAACAAGTGTTCGGTGTTTCTGGAGAGGGACAGGCTTTTGTAATTTCCCTATTGCTGTTGGAGCTGGTAATGCATCACAGTGGCAAAGGGGCTTCCACACAACAGGTTTCCCCAGTGGTTCTTAAAAAAAAAAATCAGGATAGCATTATATCAGTATACCATTATACCTAAATATGTATAAAATTCTCTGAATTACCAGGTTTCATTTTTTTAAAAAAAGTTAAGTCTGGCCTCTTTCCCAGCAGAGATATGTCTTTTTTTTTAATCTTTGCAACAAAATGAGCTAGATATTTTTCGTAAATGAAAAGCTGAGAATTCAGGGAACCTGATTAATATATTGGGGTAACAGATATATCGATATAATGCTATTCAATAACCGCTTTTTTTAAAAAAGAAAAATTCTAGGTCAAGAAGAGAAGAAGTCAAGAAGACAAAATGCCTGTTGCAGGGAAAATGGCTGCTGTGTAGGCGGGACTGGGAAAATCCAAACATTCCCACCCATATGGCAAATCCAGGGTTTACTGCAATTTCCCACAAAACCTCAGAGCAAAGCAGGACTGGGGGACATCAGAGAAAAGTCATGATGCTGTGAGGAAGGAGGAAAGAAACCCATTTTCCAACAGCATGCAATCTGGGGCAAGTAACCTTGTGTGGGAACACCCTTAATGGTGTATAGAGAGCAGGTGGAATAAGTCTTTTCAGAGCATATGTGTGAGGTGAGCTGGATCCTCTCCCTCTGTGCTCCTGTAACTTTTCTCTAGCATCTTTTTGATCAGTCAAGGTCACATAATGTGTCTAACCTTAGCTAAAGAGGGATGAGGGAGAAGGGCTGTGGGAAGAGACCTGACCATCAGGGAAGGGGTGTGTGCTCCTCATACATGAAACTCGTTTAATACTTAGTCAGACCACTGATTATTATTATTATTGTTAACATTTTTACCCCGCCTTCCCCACGAGCGGGCTCAGGGCGGCTTACAAGAGGACACAAGCTCATACATAAAACAGGATAAAACGGTAAAACCATTAAATAACAACAAAACAAGAATAAAGTGCTCCATACAAACAAGATGGTCTCCAAAGATGGTATCAATCCTTTCATTGGGGTGATATTGTCCTGTCGATGGTCCAAGGCCAGTCCAGCGGTATCATGGACTGATCTTCCGGGGACCTCCCCTAACCCCGTTGTTATCCTCCACCATTGATAGTGGTGGTAGTGATCTGTCAAGGCCAATATCATCTACCCAGGCTGGTAGTGTCTCCAGTGTCTCAGGCGGAAGTGTTTCACATCACTTCCCACAAGTGGAGATGCCCGGGACTTTCTGCATGTAGGTCCTGAGCCTGGGACTTTCTGCATGCAAAGCATCTTCAGGCAGGGGCACAGAGAGAAGGGTTTGGGAAGCAGACTGGACAATACAAAGAAGAAGAAGAAGAGATTGGATTTATACCCCGCCCTTCACCTGGAGTCTCAGAGCGGCTTACAAACTCCTTTCCCTTCCCCTCCCCACAACAGACACCCTGTGAGGTGGGTGGGGCTGAGAGAACTCTGACACAAACTGCTCTTTTTCAAGGACAGCTGTGCCAGAGCTTGTGACTGACCCAAGGTCACATCAGCAGGTGCAAGTGGAGGAGTGGGGAATCAAACCCGGTTCTCCCAGATTAGAGTCCGCACACTTAACCACTACACCAAACTGGCTCTCGAGATGGGAGAAGGGAGATGGTCCTTCGAGTACCTTGGCCCCAAGCCATTCAGGGGTTTAAAGCACTTTGAATTGTGCCTGGAAACAAGACTGTCAGCCAGTGCAGAACTTTCAGCACAGGGGTATCCAGCCTGACCGCTGCATTTTGGACCAACTCAAGTTTCCAGTTTTCAAGGCAGCCCCACTAAAAAAACATTATAGTAATCAAAACTGGATGTGATGTAGAGCATGGGGTGCTTTTCAAAGGATAGTCACCCACATAGTGATGGCACCTCACTTCGGTTCCAGGATGGTCTCTTCCAGTGATTTCATATAGATGTTAAACGTCTCTGTCCTGTGTCTCTAAGTGTGTCCTATGCTGTGACTTTATGTAATAATGTTGTTTCCCTTTATTCAGAGTTCTAGAATGCCAAGGCCTGCCAATAGTGAACGGCCAATGTGATCCTTACGCAACGGTTACGTTAACAGGACCGTGCAGGTTAGCACTTTAACTTTTCTTTTTTTAAAAAAACCTACCTGTCATTTCCCCCAAAAATCACAAAATTAGGTACAAAAAAAGGAAGGAATTAAGCAAGGCAAGAATCTTTTAGGATTTAAGGAATTAAGCAAGGCAAGAATTTATCAGAATACACCCCCTTCCTTCAGGCAGGGTCAGTAGGGATTTGAGACTAACTTAAAATCCCTACTGACCTTGCCTTAAGGAAGAGGTGTATTCTGATAAATATAAGCCCTTGTATTTTTTAAAAAAACACACCTAGAGGTAGCAACATATCTCATCGAATAAACTGTTTTAAGATGTATCAAAGTGTCTTTTTTGAAAGTGGCTTTAGTTCTTACGCTTGTCTTTTTTCTCTTTACACAAAAAGATAATGCTTCATTAGAAATTATGCTAAGAGCCTGTTTGAAGGCTTAACATCCACATTTCTATCTGCAGTGAGATCAAGAATTAGCCCTGGGGACATGCACAGCCTTCCTTGTGCTCCTTACAGTGGGTAGAAAATAATGACCACACTGAGAGATTCTGCAGTGACTTAAATGCAGGATTTCCCTTAGCCAAGCTTTTGCACCTTTTTTGATTCACAACTCTGGGATATCCCTGTTCAGGCACTTCCAAGTATGGTAAGGGGAGCGGACCAGAAGGCCTTCTCCCAAATTCATCCTGCAGGAGACGAGACTAGGGGTGTGCAAGATTTTAAAAAATTCAGTTGACTTGGGATTCGGGTACTTTTGACCCAAAAATATTTGGTATTCCAGAATATTCCTGAATACCAGTATTGGTATTGTGCTGGTATTCAGGTTAATATTTGGGAAACCCAAATATATTCAGCTCCATTATACCCTATTATACAGTCGTCCCCATTGGGTATAATTGATAAGAGATTTAAAGTTTAAATTCTTTCTGGGTTGACTCGTCTTGCACTGCTGCTGCGGTGTGACTCTGCCACTACACCCAGCAAGCATTTAAAGTTTAAATCCCTGAAGGGAGAGCTTCTTCAGTGGGGTGGTTTTAAACCACCCTACAGAAGAAGCCAGCCCCAGGATCTGTACAGGCAGGGAGAGCCCTCCCCACTGCACAGACCCAGCTGCCTGGCAGGGCTTCTTCTGTGGGGTGGTTTAAACTACCCCACAGAAGAAGCTGGTCTCAGGATCTGTGCGGGTGGGGAGGGTTCTCCCTCCCAGTCACACAGACCTGGCTGCCTGGCAGAGCTTCTTCTGTAGGGTGGTTCAAACCAGCCCGCAGAAGAAGCTGGCCCCGGGATTTGTGCTGGTGAGGAGGGCTCTTCCTACCTGCAGCACAGACCCAGCTGGTTTAAACCGCCCCAGAAGAAGCTGGCCCCAGCATCTGTATGCGCAGGGAAGGCTCTCTCCCTGCACGCAGACCTTACTGGGAGAGGATCAGCCGGGGTGGCAGAAGCTCTGAGCTTCCGCCACCCCAGTCGATCCTGGGCTTGCATCTTGATTTAAACCGAGTTATAAGAGGCTGGGCTTGCTCTTGCATCTTGATTTAAACCGAGCTATAAAAGGAGCCAGCCAGTCCTTCCCTTCTCTCTAGAGTCAGGTGGCAGCTGCAGCATGACTCCGGGGAGGGGAGGGGAGGCTTTTATTCCTGTGGGGCTGCTTTGGTGGCCAAATAGAGGTCTCTGATCTGCATTCGACTGAATACCGAGTGCACACCCCTAGATGAAACTGAAGGAAGGTCAGAGTTACATACTTTGCTGTGGGAGAGTGGGCCTCACAATTACAAAACCGATTGTCACATTTTGGGTAACTTTTTTTTTTTTTTTGCTCTGTGCTTTCTTTCCAGCAGATCAGACGTCAAAAAGACTAAAGTTAAAAAGAAGACCAACAATCCACAGTTTGATGAAGTGTTTTACTTTGAGGTTGGTATTTCAGAAGAGCGGGTACTAAAATGCAATGCAGGGCTATCAACCGGGGCTAATAGTTCCATACTCTGCCAGCTGCTACCTTTAGTGAAAGAGTTTTCAAAGGACAGTACAGAGCCCTCCCAAATCTTGGGCCCAGTTCACCATCCATCCAGACAGAAGCTGATCGTGTTTCCATGTGACTGCAGGGAAGTTCATCTAGTAGCTTTCCCTCCCCAGTTGGTCCTTCTGAGCCAATCAACCAAGCTTTGATTTAGTACTGAGGAGGGAGTGCTTCCCAAAATGGGGGTTTAGAGCCACTCCACCCTGCCTTTCTTGGTCAATGGTGGGAGGATTGTCTCACAGGAAACGTAAAAAGCTTTAAAGTGGTAGTGGCAAGCCATTCAAAAATCGAAGGTTTTGGTTACTTGCCAACACACTGTAACACAAAAGATCCCTTCACTTCAATAGAAGCCTCTTCCATTACATAGAAAATCTCTAGAACTTTGTGTAAGAGAGGTTTTTTTCTTAAAGAAAAGCCTCGCATCATTCAGAATTTTGCCACTCCCGCCCATTTCTTTTGTTTTGGCTGCAATCAGTAGGAATACATGCAAACTTTATACAGGAGTACAATCTAAACGCTAAAGCAGTTCACAAGACTTGTTCCTTCCTTCCCCCCTCTCTCTCCTTCTCTCTCTCTCTCTTCCATATATGAAAAGGGCTTGTATAGGGTGGGTCTGGGTTTTGTTTTTGTTTACTTTTGCTTTAGAGAAAGCTTCATCGTGATGTCTGAGTAAATCCTCACATTGGCTAGCATACAATAGCCAACTGAAATTACTAATGCTGATCTTGGATACTGGGAACAGGATGTGAGGCCAAAAGGGTAGGAAAAAAGGCCTACTTTTTTCAAAATTGCTTTGGGAATGGGGGCGGGCAGGCTTAGTTTTAGAGAGGTTATACATGTCACGAATGCATTCCAGCTGAGACAGAACAAGCATAAGTGCGTAAATACTAAGTATGTAGTACGCTTCATATGCTCAAAACGGCATCATATGTCCTGGTAAACCTTGTCAGCTGATGTAGGATCATCATAATAAAACTGATTGATGGATTGGTAATCCTTAGAACAATCGGAAGGTCAGTATTATCCCCATTTCTCAAGACATTCCCATTTTGTAAAGGATGCAGTTAAGAGAAAGCTTGTCTATGTAATTTCCGTGGCTGAGGTGAGACTGACTGTGGATTTCCTGTTTCAGTGAGCTCTACAGCTCTGTGTAGAGGGGCTGTGCTAATAATCTGTAGGGAAGGACTTGCCTCAGCACCTTGCTACTTTACAGCAGTTTTTCCAAAAATCTGCTGATTCCTATTCTCCTTCTCCCCACACACACGTTTAAAAAAGGAACAATAATTTGTTGCTATTTTCTTCTGATAAAATGCTTGTGGAAGCTGATGCTAAAATCAACTTGGGCCCCTGGTCACACAGAGAATTTACCGTGCGAAAGGCATGAATGTCGGGCAGACGGAGAATTCGCGAAAGGCATGAATGTTGGGCAGATTTTCGGGGCGCAATCACACTGCAACATCTGGGAAGCGTAGCGCACCCGTGGCCAACCTGTGGCGTCCCACCGAAGATGCGGAGTTAAAAAGTACCAAGGAAAGTGCACTAGTATCCGGAAAACGTGCGGCACAGGCGGGCATCTGATCATGGGAGTGATAGTACCGCCTGGCATCCGGCGCCCATCCATTTCCCGTCATAAACTGGATGTTTTTCGTAAGCGCATGCGCACAAACACAAAACTGAAAGAGTGCTGCTCCGCGGAACTGCAAATGTGCACAAATGCTAAATGCTTGTGTGATCACGCCGCGCCGCTTCTTTGCCATGCTGCAGCATCACTGTGTGATCACCAGCTAACAGCCTAAGCACGGAGACTGTGTGATCAGGCTACCACGCTTTATTTTGCTCTGGGGCAAACAGCCACGCCTCCCCCCCCACATTATCTGGCCCATGTGACCGGGGCCTTGGTTGGTCTTAAAGTTGCCGCTTGATTTCTGCCTTACTTAGCCACAGTATAAGGGAAATGAAATCAGCATTAAGATCCTGAGTGGCATAGTCAGAACCTTATTTCATTATAACATTCTGAAGAATTCTGAAAGAACTTGTGACTGACCCAAGGTCACACCAGAAGCTGCATGTGGAGGAGTGGGGAATCAAACCCAGTTCTCCCAGTTTAGAGTCTGCACATCAACAACAAAACCATCTAATATGCCATTTATGTATTTGATTTTTACCCCATGGGCTCGTAGCATGACAACCATTTTCCTTATTTGAACAGTTCTGTACCAGAGAGGGGCTCACAGCATCTGAGCAAACTCCTCTGAAGGTGCCATCCTGCAAATGGTTAAAATTGGCATGTGTTTGTTCACGCGCATTCTCTTTGTTGGCTCCCACCTTGTGGAATGGCCTGTCCAAGGTGGTAAGGAGGGCCCCCACTTTTCTGTCATTTTGCAAAATGCATAAAACAGAAATGTTCAGGAGGGCATTTTTACAAAGGGATTAGAATGGCAATATAATGGAACAGCGCAGGAGAATGCTTCTATAAGGGACAGTATTATAGCCTGGGGCACTGTTATTGTACATATCGCCTTCCTTTTTTCTGCAATGTCCTCTACATTTGCACCTCCCTCGCTTCATCATGGTATGTTATGCTTTAGACCAGTTTTCATTCGCATTGTTTTCCCATTTCTGTAATCCTAGTCCGACTGCATTGTTTATTGGAGGTCCTCCTTGCTGCCTCTGCGTGAATTGTCTTTCATATTTTGTGATCCACTCTTGAGTCTCAGTGAGGAAGGTGGGTTTCAAATGAAGAGATTATTTTTATATTTTATAAATGATAATAATGATGAACCGTTTGACCTCTTTTGGCCCCCAAACTAAATGGGGGCCCCCGGTCACACGGGAGGATTTGCCCCGTGAAAAGGACAGGTTGAGGGCACATCAAACGGGCACGATCATACCGCAACACCTGGGAAGCGTCATGCACCCGTCCCTAATCCGTCCCTTCATCCTGAAAACTTGCATTGAAAAGGTACCGGCAACAGAGCAGTACCTTCCGGATGACACGCGGCAACTCCAGGCATCTGATCGGGGAAGCGCTGGTAGCCCGTCATAGCCAGCACTGTTCCCCGTCCCACGCATGCACACAAACGCGCAACGTCCATTTTGCTGCTCTACGTCTGATCGCCTGCTGAAGGCCAGAGTACAGCGTCACGGGGGCCCATTGGATCGCGCTACCACGGTTCTTTTTGATCCGGCTCTAATTTGCCTCCCTTCAGCGGCTCAGTATCCCACTCGTGTGACCCGGGCCAAAAATGAACCTTTATAGACATACCACCTGTTTTGAAAAATCCTCTAGAAAATAGCTCCCTTGCTCCATTCCATCCTGTCTAATGGAGGCTGCCATTGGCAACCCAGACGTGGCATCTACAACAAGACCACAGGTAATAGGCTGGTCTCCAGCTCATGCTCCCCACCCCACAGGCAGTGTGGTAACAAGCATGAGATGTGGGGCTCTTTTTGTAGCAGGAACTTCTTTGCATATTAGGCCACACACCCCTAATGTAGCCAATCCTCCAAGAGCTTACAGAGCTCTTCTTACAGGAGCTACTGTAAGCTCTTGGAGGATTGGCTACATTAGGGGTGTGTCGCTTAATATGCAAATGAGTACCTGCTACAAAAAGAGCCCGATCTCCAGGGGACGGGGCTTCTTCTCACCACAACAGTGAATCCTTGCTTATCTTTTGGTGGTTGGGTGTCTAATGCTGCAATCGCACACACTGAATAATCCACTCTCAATCCACTTTCAGTGCACTTTCCAACTGGATTTTACTGTGTGAACTGGCAAAATCCAGTTGGAAAGTACATTCAAAGTGGATTGAAAGTGGATTATTTGGTGTGTGTGATCGCAGTGTCTGAGAACCAGAGGGGTAAGAATGTGGTGATAATAGGGTTGCCAGGTCCATTAGAGACATCAGTGGGGGGGGGGGATGTTCTGAGAGCCAGAAGCATCACCCCTGATATGCCGCCTTCACCGGAAGTGACATCATGTGCCATACCTATGTCATCTGGAAGTGACATAGGCATGTTGGGAGCAATGCTCTGGTTTTGGGACAAAACTCTATGGTAAAATCACCCTCAAACCATAGAGATTTGTCCAAAAACCAGCGCGTTGCCCCGGCGTGCCCACGTCACTTTTGGGTGACATAGGCATGTCACACAACCTTGCTGTTGGGGGGGAATTTCCTCCTGCCAGCCAGTGGCTGGTGGTGAGCAGGGGCCCACAAAACTGGGCAATCCCCCGCCCCCAACTGGGGAATGACAACCCTAGGTGATAAAGCCTTAGCAGGGCTGGTGGAGAGGAAGTAGGTTAAGCTGGTGTCAAGACTGTCTTGGCCAAGTTAATTGACATGATCTTAAGTCATGATCAATATGTCTCTCCTGCACTGGTAAGATTATATCATAATATGAAAAGCCACAGCCAATTTTATTAAAACAAATTTACTTCTGCCCCTTTCTGGTGTTGTGAATGCATTCAAAATCAAATTAATTCTTTAATCTCCAGTGAGGAGACTGTACAAAACAGACTAGCACAGAGAGAACTGCTGAAACATATCATGCTCTTTGGCTCCAAGGTACATTTAAGTTAAATACATAATTAAGGACTGTTGCGTCCCGTGCTTTTAGTTCTAGTTCCCATTAGCTTCATGAATTGCAAGCATAGCCTTTTAAATGGCTGTCTATTTGGCTTTTTATCTGGAACCGTCTTTTCTGTTGCTATCTATGTTTTTAAAAAGCTGTTAGATCAGCGTGTGTGCGTGCATGTATGCATATGTCTATCTGATAATGAAATCACTTTTTTGTGGGAAGGGGGGAAAAAAACCTTTGGCCCACCAAAACGTTTTGAGTTTGTAACAGGGAGGGACTTTTGAACAACTTCATCTCTGCACACATTCCGTTGCAAGCATTGTGGTTACTGCTGGGTGGGGTACGCTAGTGGTAGTTTTTGTGTCGTAGGCTGGTGAGAATCGAAAACCTCATTGTTATATTCTTGCCTTTGTGTTATGAAAGCCAGAATAATATATAACCTCATTTTTAAAATAGTTTCCTCCTGTGCTGCAGAGAGGCAGCTGCCTCCGAAGTGTTGGGCTTGCAATGCATCCTGAAGTTTGTTTTGCTCATGCATTCTATAGACAGGGAGGGGAAGTAACATCTATGCATCTATTTATATGATCAAAACCAGCTTTGGAAAGATCTTCAAAAGTACTTACTGTGGTCACTGACTGGCAAATCTATCTAATTAAAGTGAAGCACACAGAGATTTGCAGATGAAAATACTGTGATTCCCCCCCCCATTTATTCCAAAATAAGTTAACTTGGGGGGGGGCAAGAGATAAATACAGACTGTGTTCTCTGGAACCTTTAGGGTGACTGACAGTTAAAAATCTGGCTTTTGTTGGGTTATAATGGATCCTACATAGTTAGTTGCTCAGCTGCTGAGGTGTTTTGGGATTTTCACAAACATCCCATCTGCTAAGAATTTTAAAAACTTGTCAGCATGCATGAATCTGCTATTTAAAAAGGAACGTTTAATTGTGAATCTACACTGTTCTGCATTGCCCTTTGAATAATTCAAAGGCACTTTCCCAGATCCTTTCCCGCTCAGAAATCATACTGGTAAAAAAAGGGAGAAGATGATATTGCAAATTTATGTGTAATATGACAAGACATTGCCCTCAGGCTAGGAAGTGTAGTCCTCACCTCTCCTTCCTATTTAAAACATGAGCTATCAGTTGAAGTCTGAATAAGTGGAATCCCCATTTCCTCTGCTCTCAACTAGAATGGAGGGTAGAATGGAAAGACCGGAATTACCTTTTCAGTATGAAAAATAAGATGCAGCTGTTCTGCCATCGATGAAAAATACAGCCATACAGATGGGATTCGTATTATCCACCTTGGCTGGATATGTAGTGATTGGGTAGTGTTCGCTATTATCCTTCAGTATACAAAGAGAGCAATCCTAGCCAGGTCTGCTTTCGTCTACTCAATGGGCTTACTCCTGGGATAATGTTCTTAGGATTGCAATTGTGAGGCCAAGTTAGATGTTACAGCGGCCATGGATTTGGCCTATGGTCACTGTAGTATCTAGTTTGATCAAAAGTTACTTACGTATGGTTCTGTGAATAAAAGCCACATGTGATACCAGAACTCTGAGGGTACTAGGATGGATTAGACATGTAACATTAAAACTGAGGAAATATCCTTGCAATTTTAATTTATTTTTTTACATTAGTCTTCATTAGCTGGTGAACATTTTAACGTCACAGGTCCATTGTTTCAATTTCTAAATAAAAATGGCCTGTTTAGATTTTTTTTGACTTTTTTTGCTATTTCTGCATATTATATGTGATCAAGTTTATCTCTAAATCAAGAGAGAACTTTTTTATTTTGGGGGGGGTGTTGGATTTTTCATATGTGATTTGTGTGTATATACGTGTGTGAGTGAATGTGTGTGCACCTGGAAGTCATGGCAACTTCTGGTGACTGACCCCTACCTGGGGGCCTGGAGGATATTCAGAGAGGTGGCTGAATGAAGCCTGCCCCTGTCCTCCCAACTGCTGGTATTTCAAGGAGGTCTCCCATCCAAGTCCTTGCCAGAGTCAACCCTGCTTAGCTTCCGATATCTGTCAAGAGCAGACTTGCCTGGGCTATCCAGGTCAGGGCAACTCAAGAAAGAACTTGATGTCCACATAATTTAGAAAGTGAACAGCAAGGTTAGGCAAGGACAGTTTACCTTGTTGTGATGATAATGGCCTATATTTCTAATGTTTGGCCAATTTAACTTTCTTAGCTCTGTCATTAATCCTCCTGCCCTCCCCTTATAAACTGCTACTATGTCTGCTCAGTGCCCTGTCCCACATAAGAAGCCAGGTATGGATTCTCCATCTGTCTCTTAAATGATCAGAAGCCCTTCCTGCTTCATCTGCCTGGATTTCAAAAACTGTCTTTGCTTATTCATCTACAATTGGCTAGTTTTTTTCAGTTCTGCGTTTATTGGCTAGTAAGATTGCACTAATCATTTTACCAATTCTCATCTGGAATAGATTACCAGACCCTGCAGTAATAACAAGAAGTTCCACTTTGAAATTGAAGATGCTGATGAAGTGGACAAGATGGAAATCAGGTAAGTTTGTTTCCACATTGCACATATGTATGTATGCACACATACAGACTGAGTTCAGACTTTCAGTTTGCCCCAAAGGCATGTGCCCGAAACATTTTACAAACGGATTAAAGGGCCGGTTCACACAGACACAGCTGTCCGGCGTTCCCCAGCCGTACTCAACCCGTCTTGTAACGCTTCCCTCCCAAGTTTAAAAAATACCAGGTAAAAGTGGTAGCAAACCCTGGAGAGCGCGTTTATCCCACTTCCCGGAAGTGTGAATGCCGAAATCCACAATTGCTGATGCGCATAAGTGCATATCACTGGATTACCAAAAAGAAAGCCGTGCCTTACCAAAAAGAAAGCCGCACTGGGGTGGGCCAACAGTGCGAACGTTCCCTTGCGCCTCCTCCCCAGTATGCTCCTGCATCAGTCAGTGCATTGTGACCAGAAATACCTGGAACAAGTTGTTCCGGCTCTTTTTTGCCACGACTCCCTCGTGCTTCAAACTGCCAGTCTGAACTCAGCCACAGTCCCTCACAGTCCCTACTAAGTAGTAAATTTGTGAGAAGCCAGCAAAAGTGCCAGAAAGTCCTTGCGGTTTCTTGCATTGGCGTGGTTTCTTGCATTGCAAGTGATGCCATTAAAAATTGTGAAAGTATATCATTTTATGGTCAGCTGATATACATATTTTCAAAACGGAGCAGGAAAGCTCCATCTTAATGCACGCTGAGACTGTTAAATGTAGCCCAAGCTACAAAGGTCAGAATAGAGTAGACCTACGTCCTGACCCAGGAGTGTGCCGGAAACCCAGGACTTCGATGCTCTGAGGATATAGCAAAATCAGATGTCATTTCTTAAGGGGCTGTGGCTGAGCGATAGTGGATCAGCTTTCCAAGTTCAATGCCTGGCATCTTTGTTTGAAAGGATCAGGTATTATGTGATGTGAAAAACCTAGACCTGAGACTTTGAAGAGCCACATTCAGTCAGAATATACAGTACTTACCTTGATAAACCAATGATGTGACTCAGTATAAACTTCATGTGTTCACTTGGTGTATGAGCCATATACCAAGTGAAGAAAGGAGTTCATGAGCAAAGGATTGTGTCTTCGCAGGAGACTTCCCTTGGGGCGGGGCCCTGGCCATTGTGACATCGCTGGCAATACAGTGACATCACCGGCAGCGCGGAGGGAGCAACACTGTAGCATTTGCCACAAAACTATTGTTAAACCATGTGCCAATTGCCGCTTCCAGCCATTGGGGGGAGGTCACCCACTAAAGCGGGGACCTGGTCTCCCTGATTCAAGCCACTCTGTAGGGACGTGTCCATTTCGTGTGCACACGAAAGCTTATACCTTGAATAAAACTTTGTTGGTCTTAAAGGTACCACTGGGACTCAAACTTTGTTCTGTTAACTAGATGGTTAATACTGTGGTTTCCCATATTCTAGGGAAAAGCGCACAGATAACTGATTGGACAGGTTAAAAAAAATATTCAGGAACCAAGTAGAAATTGAGTATTTGTCTCTCGATTTTTTGTGAGTGTTGTGTAGAAACATGTTTAAAAGGTTGCCACATTAGCTGACAGTATCTGAAAATACTCTTTTGTTCCAGAAGAGACAGCAGTGTTCAATCTCTAACCATTCCAAAATTAAGGATACATCAATCTCCAATTCTGATATATTTATTTCCTTGCTGTGTTTCCCCCACCAGTTGAATCCGAAGACATATAATCTGATCTTGTTATTTTAATCTTTCGAACAGATGATAGCCATATAATCTGATCTTGTTATTTTAATCTGTTAAAAACATCTTCGTTATTCTGTATGCTAATTTACTTCCCACCCTCAATACGTAGGACTGTTATTTCTATTTCCATTTCTTTGTATCTGAAGAAGTGTGCATGCACACAAAAGCTCATATCTTGAATAAACCTTTGTTGGTCTTAAAGGTACCAGTGGAGTCAAAATTTGTTCTAGTGTTAAATCTTGTAAGGAACTGTAAGAATTAAAGGTAGAAGTAGGAGGTGTGTGAAAGTGACTGTGAGCCTCTATGATGTCCCAGAGGTTGGCAGGGACCAAGAAGGAAGCCTTCCTGAATCTTTTAAGTGGGTCGTGTTGGGCCTGTGTCCACTCATGTATCCTGCCTGCCTTCTGGTTGTTTGTTCTCAAGATACTCAGAGGTGCCCAGAGTGGGAGGAGCTCTGGTGGATGTGGTCAGGGACGCCAGTGTTACTAGGATTGATAACTCTGGATTGGGAAATACCTGGAGATTTGGGGGTTGGAGCCTAGGGAGGTTGGGTTTTGAGGAAGAGGGGTACTTCAGAGGGGCATAATTCCATAGAGTCCACCCTCCAAAGCAGCCATTTTGTCTCAGGGAACTGATCTCTCTAGTCTGGAGATAAGTTGTGATTCCAGGAGATCTCCAGGTCATTCCAGGAGATCTCCAGGTCCTACCTGGAGGTTGGCAACCTTGTGTTTTCATTTCCATTTTCTGGATTCTTGGTAAGTTTGAGGGTGTGGGGTTGCCCCCAAACAGTGATATAATAAATAAGGAATTGAATTCACTGTTCTTGTTGGTTGATTCTTTGGCTGGTTTGTTTTTAATGTGTGTGTTTTTTAAGAAAACACAAAAAATATGATGTAGACTCAATTTAAAAATTGCAAAGCCAGCTTGCTACCCTTTTCCATATCTTCACTAGTCCTATCATTGTTTTCCCACTCAAGGCAGGAAGGCAGGACTTTATTTTGAACTTTGCAAGATACCATTTCCTGTCTAAATGGTGTGGGGGCGGGCAGGTAGAATGAAGAATTCAAGAGGGGGAGAAATGGCACCAGTTTAACTTTTTGGTTTTGTTACAGAATTGATCTCTGGAATGCAAGCAACTTGAAGTTCGGCGATGAGTTTTTGGGAGAACTAAGACTACCTCTGAAATTTCTCCGGCAATCCAGCTCTTATGAAGCATGGTACTTGATATGATTGCTATAAAATTATGTACTAATATTGCATCACAATTTTATCTAATAAAAAATTCACCTCCCCCCTAATTTCACTATGGAAATACTTGCCAGGCTACTACATTGCCTCTAAAAGGCCCAGGGAAGGAAGATTTGTGGATTTTCTATCTGATAATGACACACCATTTGGTTGTTTTTTGTCTCTTTTGCTAGGTACTTCCTCCAGCCCAGAGATAATGGCAACAAGTCACTGAAACCAGATGACCTGGGTTCCTTGAGGTTAAATGTGGTTTACACAGAAGATCATGTCTTTCCCTCAGACTATTATAGCCCACTTAGAGATCTCTTCTTAAAATCTGCAGATGTTGAGGTAATTTATTTGCTGTTGGTTGTTCCCCAGATCTCCTCCGCAAGTCATCATTCTTATTTTGTCATTTTACAGTGAATTGGGCTGGTGTGTTAGCTCCTTGAGAACACTGGTTCCCTGATAACTGTGGTTAACAAATGAGCAGCTAGGTGGGAAAACTCTCTGGAAGCCTCCTCGTTTTCTCCTTTAACTACCTGTAAAGGGTTGGTGGCTCTGACATGACCAATGGTTAAAGCTAACCATGATTTTCTTTAAACAGGGGCCTGAAACTACAGTTTGAATTTGGTTTCAGATACTAGGTTAAGAGAAACTCTGGTTCACTTGAACCACTCTTAACATTAGTATTGATGAGTTGCTTAACCATGATGAAAAGGAGGCTGAGTGGACTCAGTTTACACGAGGGAAGGAAAATTGCATAGAGGAGGGTGTACATTCATTGAGGCTTGCTCCATGTTTTTGTGGGGAGCCAGCATTACATCAGAACTGTTTTCAAACCATTCTGGTGGCTTCAGATATGTGTTTTAAAAAAAAAATAACAACAATAATTCTCTCCTTTATTTCATGGATTCCATGTACGTAAGAACACAAGAGAAACCAATGTTGGATCAGGCCAATGGCCCGGCCAGTCCAACACTCTGTCACACAGTGGCCAAAAATACCAGGTGCCATCAGGAGGTCCAGCAGTGGGGCCAGGACACTAGGAGCCCTCCCACTGTTGCCTCCCCAGCACCAAGAATACAGACCATCACTTGCCCCAGATCGAGAGTTCCTATCTATACCTTGTGGCTAATAGCCACTGATGGACCTCTGCTCCATATGTTTATCCAATTTCCTCTTGAAGCTTTCCATGCTTGTAGCTGCCACCAATTCCTGTGGCAGTGAATTCCATGTGTTAATCACTCTTTGGGTCAAGAAGTACTTCCTTTTATCCATTCTAACCTGACTGCTCAGCAATTTCATTGAGTGCCCACGAGTTCTTGTATTGTGAGAAAGGGAGAAAAGTATTTCTTTCTCTACCTGCTCTATCCCATGTATAATCTTATAAACCTCGATCATGTCACCCCTCAGCCATTGCTTCTCAACGTTAAAGAGCCCCAAGCGCTTTAACCTTTCTTCATAGGGAAAGTGTTCCAACCCTTTTGATCTGGATTTGATCTAATTTATTACAGCAAGAGCCAGTAAAGCAGTACAATTCTGATATAAGAAAGATTAAAACAGTAATAACATAAGAATAGTATAAGAACATTAACAAGAGAAAATTAATAAAATTAGTAAAATAAAATAATATTAATAAGAGAATCATACAATTTTTCCAGCTTCTCTGCCTTTTGGCTAAGATCAAGGGTAGTTCCAGGGCTATTTTTGGGCAGGAACGCACAGGAACGGAGTTCCAGCTGACTCCTGAGTTGGTCATGCCCAGCAGGAACTCATTAGCATAATAGGCCACACCCAACAGCAGAAACTCATTAGGATTGGCTACATTAGGGGTGTGTGGCCTAACATGCAAAGGAGTTCCTGCTACAAAAAAAGCCCTGGGTTTTGACAACAAACAAGGTAAACAGAATAAGAAGCAAAAGGTGGGTGTGGCTGGATGACCACACTTCTGGTAACACAGGAGTGTGGCCTCATATGCTCATGACTGTGCTGTTAGGGGTGTGGCCTAATATGCTAATGAGTTTCTGCTGTTGGGTGTAGCCAATTATGCTTATGTGTTCTTGCTGGGCTTTTTCTACAAAAAAAGCCCTGGGTAGTTCCAACCCTTTTATCATTCTAGTTGCCCTTTTCTGCACTTTTTCCAATGCTATAATATCCTTTCTGAGGTGTGGTGACCAGAATTGCACACAGTATTCCAAATGAGGTCGCACCATCAATGTATACAAGGGTATTATGATACTGGCTGATTTGTTTTCAATTCCCTTCCCAATAATCCCAAGCATAGCGTTGGCCTTTTTTATTGCAGTCGTACACTGTCTCAACATTTTCAATAAGTTATCTACTACAACTCCAAGATCTCTCTCTTGGTCGGTCTCCGCCAGTTCGGACCCCATCAACATGTATTCATAGTTAGGATTTTTGGCCCCAATGTGCATCTCTTTGCACTTGGCCACACTGAACCCCATTTGCCACATTGACACCCTCTCACCCATCCTCGACATATCCCTTTGGAGTGCCTCACAATCCTCCCTGGTTTTCACCACCCTGAACAATTTAGTGTCATCCACAAATTTAGCCACTTCTCTGCTTACTCCCAACTCCAAATCATTAATGAACAAGTGAAAAAGCATTGGAACCAGTACTGATCACTGCAGTACAGATCCCTGGCATTAAATAAATCGACAGCCATCCAATGGGCATTTGGCATAAGAATATATATTTGAGTATGAAGCAAGCCTTTTAAAATATTTTATTTATATTTTGCCTTTCTCCCATTTTAATAGGCCCAAGCTTTTTGTAGTATAACCGTGAAAATTAATGGAGGAATACATGTTTAGTGGATTGGGCGAGGGGTGTTTTATTGAATGAAATGGCTTCTGTTTTATGGGTAAACCTTTATTTCATTGAAAAGACTGCAGCCAAATAATTGGCTGATTAGTTCTAATCAATATGTGAAATTTAACCTCTGCTGCATTTTGACCCTCTCCCTTCTTTCTAGGTCACAATGCCGCCATTATAATAGACACTACAACTGGCAGAACTTCCTTATCAGGGTCTAGATGTAGCATCCACTTCTTTTAACAACCTTGTCTCTCTGAGCCTGGCTTCATGCCAACTATCTCCTTCCCTCCCCTCGGATTGCATATAGCTCCTCCATACCTTAAGCATTCTGAAAATTCTTCAGATTCCTTCTGGTGAGCCTCTTTTGCTTCAAGAAGGACCTACCTTTCTTCTGAGTTCCCTGTTGGCCCTGTGTGATGTCAGTTCCAGCCAAACTGGTAACTTTCTTTTCCTATGTAGATACTGGACTAGCTTAACATTCCACATCCTTCTGTCAGAATAGCTGATAAATGATAGAGGCTTTCTCTGCATAACACAGGTTCAGAGTAGGGATACCACATTGCCTTTTTTGTGCATCTCCTGGACAGTTTAATTGATACTGAAGAAAGCTAGTACAAATATAACTGTAGCCAGTTCTTCCCCATTCAAAAAAGCTGCTGAAATATTTACTAAACAATATGAATGCACAGAGTGTTATATTTGTTTTCTTGTTAGTGCCCTCTTGTGACTAAAATGATCAACTAGATGCCTCTCAGGTACCTTTTCAGCTGGGCACTGCAACTAATATTAGCAATCCTGCACAAATTAAGGAGAAGTATGTTAACTACTTGGCTATACAGCTTTATTTCTTTCCATATTTAGCCTGTTTCAGCATCTGCTGCCCATGTGTTGGGTGAAGTCTGCAGGGAAAAACAGGAGGCAGCCATACCTTTGGTGCGGCTCTTCTTACACTATGGCAAAATTGTGCCTTTCATTAGCGCAATTGCAAATGCAGAAGTAAGAAGAACTCAGTAAGTACAACGGTACATTCATTTTGAAGTTTGTCAGCCCGTGTAGCAAGCAGTACTTTTAGAAGTGCCAGTTCAGAGGAAATAAAAATTGGACTTTGCTTCCCAGCATTCTTTTTCTTAAGGGGTTCCATAGCAGCATATTTGCCATATAGGAAGTCATTGGCTAATCATGATTCACCAGCCTGAGGTCTAGAAGGGTAGAAATCTGAGAGATTCGATGAGGGTTATATAGGCAGGACTGGGATGGCAGCTTTCAGTTGAAGCAGAAAATATGGCTTGAAGGGAGAAGATGAAGGATATTGTTGCCCTTTTGAAGCCTTAAAAACCAAAGTTTGTAAAGGGTTTCTAGCAGAAGAAGTTAGAGTTTGCTCAGTGCATGCTGTTGCTGAAACTGTTATTTTATTTCATTACCAAAACATTGATACCCCACTTTTCCCCATGGCTCAGTTTGCCTCCGAAAATAACTTCCTCGATGGAATGAAATCAATGAGACTGAAGTGGAATTGTGGGATTTCCTTGCAGTTACATGTGTTGAGTCTTGAGATAGCCCTTATTTTTTTTTTGTTCTGGTGTTGCTTGTTTATGTGATTTTATTGCATTTATTTTTATTTTTATTATTATTATTATTACATGGGATTTTTACCCTGCCCACCCCCAAAGGGCTCTGGGCGGCTTACAGAGTATCGTGTGTGCACACACTTTCTAGAGTCCTAACTATGGCCACAAATTCAGGGGGATGGGAACCCTACCAGATACCCTCCGAAGGCTTTTTTTCCCACAGATGTTCTTGCTTCTCCTTCCGTCTTTTTTCCCGGGCGGTCACATGCCTCTTCGCGCAGTTCTTTCTTAGAGGGGGGACTTCAGTTAGCTGGCTTCCACAGCGGCCCCTGCTGGCTCGTCGGGCTTGCTGCACGCAGGCGATGGGGATTACGTCCTTCCAGCTCCAATCTCTCCAATGACGCTGCGCCGCTGCTGACCTCCGACCAGTCATTGTTCCGGGGGGGCGTCCCTTCGCCGCTGCTTCTGCCGCTGTTTCGCCGCCATTGTTGTTACCGATGCCGCTATTTTCTCTCTGGAGCCACAGTTCTTCCACTTCTTCTAGGGGAGGGTACCCCCCTAATGATAAATGTTGTCTTTAATTGTTATAAATGTTTCTATGTGCCACCTTGGGGACCCTGACTGGATGGAAAGGCAGCATAAAAATATATATTTT